TTTTCCAAACTTTTTTTGAAGGTGATAGATCAAGTGAAGGTGCTAAAGCTGCATCCATATCGTACGTCTTTGCCAAGATCTGTCATCTCTTATTTAAATACATGATGGGTATTTGAGACATTGGAATTGCTTTGAAGATCTCTCTCCCCTTGTCCATATAGAATTTTTGCTGAAACTAAAATTATTGTCTTCACTATTCAGCATGAAGTCCGAACTCCCAGGAGGGGTCACCGTGGTGCTATGGCTTTTCCACACATCGTGCGCCCAGTTGAGGAGATAACAGCAGAAGAGCTGAATAATATTTGTGGATCTGCAAGAGAGAAAGTATATAACAGGGCCATGGTAAGTGCATTCCAACTAAATGCATACTTTGTGAAGTCATCTTCTTGTTATTCCTTGCCTGTGGTTTAGTATCCGATAGAGCAGACTACCTGTCACTGAAGGATGTGATTTTTAGGTGAAGTGTGCCTGAGATCTGGAAACGTCATCTCTTATCTTCCCCGAATTTATAGAATGGCCTTTACCGAGCCAGTTAGCTTGCTTTCACCCTGGAACAACGGTAGTGCCTAGATGATGCTAGCTGAGCAAAGTGATCAACAGACGCTGCAGATGAGATGGTAAAACAGTCTTGGTTCAAACTTGCAAGGCGGCTCTCTGTTTCAGGATGAGCACCACTAGCTGCCAAAGAGATTCTTTAAATGCTCTGTTCTCCTAACTGAAGAGTCATCTTTAATGTCTTGTTTCCTGACCTAGTTTCTCTGCGTTCTAGGGATCCACCTGTCATCAATGTCGCCAGAAAACCATAGACACCAAGACAAACTGCCGTAACCCCGCCTGCGTGGGCGTGCGGGGCCAGTTCTGCGGGCCGTGCCTCCGCAATAGGTACGGGGAGGACGTCAGGGCGGCGCTGCTGGACCCGGTAAGGCAGGCTGCAGGACCAGCTCTAGCGTGCTTAACTTGAGCAGAGGGGGGGCTTTGCTTACTCAGGGTGAAAGAGTTTTAGCAGGGGAACTGTTTACAGTGCTGCAGTACATAATGCAGTCCTGGTTTGGTTCAAACTGAATTACAGAACCTTGTGTTGTGTAGAACATGTAGTTACTACTGTAGTTTTATTTTCAGGAGTAAACTGTGAGAGCAGAGCAGCTGCCGAAACGCTCCTGTGTTTGAGCATCAAGAATAATGTTCTCTTTTGCCTTCTGTTAGCACTTAATGCCCTATGGAAAGGAACTGTATTGTGGACAAAGTGGAATCTGGAAGTGGTGCAGGAGTTGATGAGAGTGGAATGCTTCCTGTGGTTACGTGCAAGGCAGACAAAGGAGAGCTTAATCCCGTACAGACTGAAGAATTTGTACTCTTGCACTGGTTTAGACAACTTACATGGTGCTGATGTTCACTGCACAATGCAGTGTAGAGCAGGGCCCTCTTTCAAAATGTGGATGTAAATTGTCTGCAATTCCAGTTCAGTTAAAAGGTTTTGTTGTATGTATTTTCTCTAGACCTGGAGGTGCCCACCATGTCGTGGAATCTGTAACTGTAGCTTCTGTAGACAGCGAGATGGCCGATGTGCTACAGGTGTCCTGGTTTATCTGGCCAAGTACCATGGCTACGACAATGTCCATGCCTACCTGAAAAGGTGAGTATGCCATTGTGTCAGTGGCATCACTCTGCTCAGAGTGGAACATGCAGCTCAAAACTGGGAGAGGAGAGCTCTCCACATCCAAACTTGTCAGGTCAGCCTCAAGATCAGTCCATGTTGCCTTTAGAATCAGATTACCCAGAACAAGTGGCATATCCACTCTGTCTGTCAGCTCTGAAGTTCAGCTATATCAGGGCTTCCAGTATTTGTCCAAATGCTGCAAGCTAACTCATGTTTTTACTTGTCTTTCAGTCTGAAACAAGAACTTGGAATGGAAGACTGAAGCTGTGACTGCCTTTAGATTCTGTACTCTTTTTAACCAGTATCATATTATTGCCTACAATGAATTGTTTCATCAAATGAAATTACAGAGCCACTGGCTGTCTTCCCCCCTGCTTTTGGGAAAAAAAAGGATAATGTTCACTTATCTCAGTGCAAATCATGCTTGGGAAAACTTTAATGAAGGTCCTTGCCCATAGGCTGTTGTTTTCTTTTTAAACAACTTTGCAAATAGCACCAGTCCTTGCTTTCATGCCAATAACTTCTTTTTCCTGAAAGGAATGGGGCTTTAAGCCATTAGATTTTTATTCATTAAGTCATCTGCTACAGGTTTATTTATGCTTTGAAGTTGATCACAAAGATACAGATGTTCTGAAAATTCAGGGCATCGTTCCTACAAAACCAAGCAGGGAAGGGCATGTGCTTTACTCCACCCCAACTTCTGCTGCAATAGACTATTGTTGAACATAAGTGATCAAATAGTAGCTAAGGATTCTCTAAAACAACAAGGCATTCCTAAGTTCAAAAAGGAAGCCCAAAATGTTGCAGCTGAGTCTCCAAGCACTAATAATTGTTTTATAGAGTACTCGGAGTGCACATTGGCCATTTTAAGGGAGATTCTCTGATGGACTTAAACAATGCTGCAGGAGCAGTTGGGGGTGGCACTTCTTATTTTTGCTCAGATAAGAACAGGCCACTGAGGCTTCCTGAAAGGCTTCCACGGTACCAGTACTAGCATTGCCTAGCAATGGCAGTGATGTGAACGTACTGGTGGTATGCATTGTGGAGTGACAACTCTGTCTAAAACAGAATGTACCCTTTGATAAGTCACTGGTTTGGGGGGGTTGGGGGATGGGCTTGTGAGTTCGCTTTTCCCTTCTCTAGCTGCAACTGCCGAACTGCTTCTTTGCAGAATCAGCACTGGTCCTGGGGAAGGAGGATACCTCCAGACCAGGGCTTGGTTAAGCAGAGGGGGTAGTGGTTCAGGTGGCTGTTGGCCAGCTACAAGGGGATGAAAGATGGTAACTCATTGGATTTTGTTACTGGGAGAAGGGGCATTAACAATCACTGGAATCGGAAGCCTGGATATTTTTGCCTTTGAAAAAAGAAATTAAAAAGGACTTTCTAAGCTACAGTCCAGCTTAAGGAGTTATTCTTCCAGTTGCATAGCGCGTCATAAACAAATCAATGATGTTCTCAAGAGACACCATGGTTGTAGTAACAAATGAGAGAATGATTGCCTCATCAAAAAGACTTTTAAAAATAGAGGGAGATTTAATGGGTTGCATACAGTTTGTGAGCACTTAAAAATATGGTTAGTGCTGTGGTCTTCTCAACAGTCCAGATATGTTTCTGTATTTGGCTCTGCATGATCATAGAAGGATCATTTTGAATGATGTTAATGAAGCATGAGTACAGCAAAAGTGGAGATGAAGAATTCTGATGTGTGTGGATGGGGTCTTGCGTACTCAGTGCCGTGGAGAAGAAGGTGCCATGAAAATTGCATCCAGAGATCCACACAGTATATAAGTGAGCTTATCTGGTTATGGAAACTACTGTATAAACTTTGTAAGGTTTAGAATGCAATGTTATAAATAATGTACAGTTGAATAGTAGAAGTATCAATTTACTTTTACTGGGCAGTAGAACAAAACATGGGTTTAGACTTCTCTGCACAGTATTTGCACAGTGTTTACAGTTTTTACCTTTCTGGAACTTATATCAGTGTGTATAGGAGGGGAAAAGAGGAACTCAGGAGCAAAAGATATTTGTCTCAGACTTGCAGTTCTGATACATAAATCATCTGTCCTATTGAAAATCTCTTGTCCTTTTTGTCTGTTTTTATAATGTGAATAGCTGTGCAGTCTGAGGTGGAGAGTGCTTTACCTTCTAGGTATATTTTGTGAAGAATGAACTCTAGAAATACATGTTCTGACAGATAAGAGCGATTCCCACCCCCCTCTTTTTTTTTTCCCCTCCTAAATGCTGGGCTTGCCTTCTCATTGCTGGTGTGAAAGGACTGTGCTAAAAGCAAACCCTGGTGTCATATCATAGAGACTGCTGTATTCAGATGTACTCAGATCTACAATGTTATGTACAAAGTTTTTTATTTTGAAAATAAAAATTTTCTGAGTTAGAATTTTTGCCTCTTAACTGTTTTTAAAAAGTCCGTTAGAGCTGTACTGAAGTTTACCTGAAAGATGGTAAAATCTTTGTAGTGAAGTAAAAGAGTCAGTTGCTCCCATCATACTTGGGGGAGCAGTGGGGATAGGACATTTCTCTCTCCTCAGCCTTGTGTCCCTGAACTAGGCTTACTCTGATGTTCATGCTGCTTGGATTGAATTGTTTGGTACCTGATGACTGACTTGTGATGGTACAAATATATAGGTGCTGAGTTCAGGGCAGATACAAACTAGAAGTGTATTTGCTTACCCTTCTACCTTTTTTTTTTTCCCCTGTATTTTTTTTAAACTAGATGTCTACATCCTGAGCTGAGCAGGCTGTGGAGGCTGTTATTTCTGACAAGTCACAGTCAGGTGTCTACGAAATATATTTCTATTTTTTTAATTACTATTATTTTTTTTTTCCCAAACAAACTGTTAAATAAGCTCTGTGCTGGAGCAGAGAACTACAGGAGGGGGGCCAGGGCCAGGGCCGGGGGGGGGGGCTCTGGTTGCGGG